ATATGATAGAGCCCAGTAGGCTCAGGAACCTGTACACCTGTTGATTGACGGTTGAGAGGCGGGACCAAAGAGCCAAAGCTCAACCCCCGCAAGCACAATTAGGCGAGTACAGGTAGTACGTACCTGAAAGAGAGGGTGGTGGAGGCCTGACTGGTCACTGGGAGTCATCAAGGTGGTGGACTCATCCTCGTCACTTCCAGCAGGGCCATCGACAGCTGAGGGAACAAGCACAGAATGTGAAACAAATGTGTTTGTGGACATGATAGCCAGGCGCGGTATACCAGTTCCGTATGAGCAGTATGGTAAAATTTTATCTATATAGATTTAGACTAAATAATAAACCAGATTTTATGTTATTTGTATCAAAGGTATTAGTTTACTGTCTTCAGGATATTGAATATATTGTCATATATTGTGCTACTGACCCGGGGAAGCGATGACTACAGCGGCCAGCAGCAGGAGGACGGAGAGAGACAGCACCAGCCTCATCTTGTCCACCACAGCCAAGCTCTCTACAACAAGTGGGAGCTAAGCGGATGCACTGCGTGTGTTTAATAACAAACATTGATTGCCAGGTTTCACAATATGTAGGAGTCTCACGGGTCGTCAAGTATCCTCACATATTTATAAAATCAAAAAATCATTAATAAAGCCAATTTGTGTGTGCAAAAGGAAAAAATAATTGTTTTTGGTCATAACACTTTTAAAGTCGATCTAAACTATTAATTATGATATAAATAGTGCAGACAAGTGCAACACAACTCAATATTGATCACATGACATTGTTTGTATCGTAATAACTCTCTATGTTATCCTGACAGTTTCAGACTGCCAACATCAGGTCACAACAGCTTGCTGGAACCTCATCACCAGTCATCCTTAACCAGCCAAACCCCATCACCAATATTCACCCTCCAACAACTTAAAGTGCCCAGATAAGTCAGCAATATATACAGGCTTAACAGGCCACAACAGCAAGCAATATATACAGCCTTAACAGGCCACAACAGCAAGCAATATATACAGCCTTAACAGGCCACAACAGCAAGCAAAATACATCTGAATCAAGTCAGGATAAACAGCAATATGCAGCAGTAACAAGTTAGGATAACTAGGAATATGTAACAGTCACATGTCAAAACAAACATAATAAAAATAAAGTGCAGGAGGCCTACCGGCCCATATAACGCAGCTCCTATTTATATCCACCCAAATTCATTCATACATACGTCTAACCTACACTTAAAACAATCAAGGAACGCTATGTCAATTATGTTATCCTGTAATTGGTTCCAAAAATTTACAACCCTGTTACCAAACCAGTATTTACCCAGGTCTTTCCTAAACCTAATCATCCAATTTGTAGCCATTGTTTCGTATTCTGTGTTGATATATTTCATAACTTATTAATGTCTCCTTTGTTATGCCCATTCATCCACTAGTACATTTCAATATCTCTCTTCGCATTTCTAGAGAATATATATTAAACTTTTTCAATTTATGTTCGTATACCTACACCTATCGAATCTATGTCCATTCTATAGTATAGCGACCAAAACTGAACTGCATATCTAACTCAGGCCTAACAAGGGCAAGATATAGCTGAACAATAACATTTTATTAAATGAACAAATCCACAAGGGCCGTGACGAGGATTCTAACCTGCCTCACGAGGCTACGGGATCCAGTAAGTTCAGTAGAGCTTCGGTTTCAACCCTTTTCCCTATCGTAGCTCAGTCGATTAAGGCAGTGTCTGGGATGCTCCCGGACGCAGGTTCGAATCCTCGTCACGTCCCTTGTGGATTTGTTCATTTGATGCATCACGTTAGTGTGATCTCTGTGTGTGAACACTTTTATTGCTATAAATAAAAAAATAAATAAAAGTTTGCGCTTTCTTTGATACTGAGTTTGGTGTGCTTGAAGATTATAGTGTGGTGCTTCTGGCTTCTGACTGTTGTTGTTGTTTTAGATTCAGCTACTCGGAACAAAAGTCTCAAGTAACACGGGCTATGGTGAGCCCGTAGATTCATCTGTTTCAAATGTTATTGACATAGGCTACCTGTTCAAACTCCAAAAGATACCTGATCAACCATGCTGTGATTCATACGTCAGGCTGCGAGCAGCCTCGCCCAACAGCCTGGTTGACTCAGTCCAGCAACAAGAAGGCCTGGTCGAAGAACGGGCCGCGGGGACGTTAAGCCCCGGGATCATCGCAAGGCAACCGCAAGTGTTAAGTGTGTGGACAAAGACAGGGACACACACTCGAACACTGTATTTTGGATTGTAGTAAAATTGAACCATTTAGAGATTAATCTAAACCCATGTTCTATGATATGACTCTTATTACTAAGGATAAAATACCTGAAATCCTTGCACCGTATCCATATTTCGCTCCAAATATATAAACGAGATTAAGAAACAGGTAGTGTATTGTGAAGACTAATAATAACAAACAGCAGCTCCCCTATGACTGTAATATCTCCATTGCTCAAACAATTATGTATTAGCAATAAGACCTACCATAATGTATAATGACTTACTTTAAATATATATCTCTTGAAATAGAACCTTCTCTGTAATTATAAGGTGTGAAGGATTGATGAAATTGTTTATGTAATAATCTCCGTTGAAGTCTGATAAAGACATGTGTTCTCTGTAATGCTTTTTCGCTACCGCTCACAGAATGAGTATGGGGTGCACAATAAACTAGCCGCTTCCAGCGGCAACAATCAAAATCAACCGCAAGGTATGATTGATTGGAAAAGATTAAGCCACCCAAGAGGTGGCACGGGCATGAATAGCCCGTAAGTGGTGGCCCTTTTGAGCCATTACCAGTATCAAGAGCTGATACTAGAGATCTGTGGAGGTGCGACTGCACCCTGCGTGACGGGCGATGTCTCCCCGGACCAAATGATGAACCGCAAGGTAAGACACGGTAGGTATATATATACACCTAGTTGGGATTGCGGGGGTTGAGCTCTGCTCTTTTGCCCCGCCTCTCAACCGTCAATCAACGATCATTTTTTTCACACACACACACAGGAAGCAACCCGTAACAGCTGTCTAACTCCCAGGTACCTATTTACTGCTAGGTAACAGAGGCATCAGGGTGAAAGAAACTGCCCATTTGTCTCCGCCATCGCCGGGGATCGAACCCCGGTCGCAAGGATTACGAATCCTGAGTGCTGTTCACTCAGTCATTAGGCGTCTTGCTCAGCCACCAGGCGCCCTATTACATACACACACACACATTTGTATGTACGTAAATGTTAGCATCAAAGTTACGGTATACATCGTCTAGATATACATTGTCACAGTCGTTTTATGTAAGACTTAACATTAGCTATGGGAATGGAAAGCTCTCAGCCTCCCAATAGCAGTCACATGTGGTCTGTTCCAGGATTAAGGCTTAGCATAAGCAATGAAAAGGGAAAGCAAAAGGTCTACTAAAAAGAATAAGTCATGGTAAACCTTAGGGTAATGTTTGCCGTGAATTATTTGAAGGAAAAGCTTTAAACCTGCTAACAGGAGTCATTTGTCATCCTCTCCCGTACCAACCTGTGTTAAAAATATATGTGATAGATATGATAATAGCTCATAACCCATAGTTTATCTTAAGTTTGTGTTCAACCTCTGAACTTTGTTATATTTATATGAATGAGACGGAAATATTTTAGGGATGACTAAATCATTATTATGTGAGGCGTTATCCATGCCGCGAACTGACAACTTTACCCTTTGTCTCCTGTTTACATTTGCAAGATTTATGACCGAATCATTTCCGAATGAGAGCTTGAGGGAGTACAGAGTCACTGCGTTATGCATCACACTGCCTCGTCTCAATGGTCGTCCCAGAAACCTTTGCTGATTCTGCTTCTTAAGGCTGCTACGCTGGAATATAAATAAATTAATTTCCATGCCATGGTTGATGGGAACAGTCTTGGACTGATAGGGTAGTTGAATTTTGTTCTCAATATCTTATTAACCACGTGTGAGAATATGCTAAACCTATAATACCCAAAAAGTGATTTCGGTTAAAAACATGATGTTTCGGTCTCTGTGTGAACGGAAAATAGGTATAAATAACAAAAGCATTTCGACAGTTGAAAATAGCGTTAATGTTGCAAAAAATAATTTTACAAATTCAAAATAACGATAATGTTACCACAACTTTATGACAGTTTGAAATACCATTAATGTCACAACATATTTAAGAGTTAAATTGAAAGCCTCGAATCTCTGACAATGACAAAGGCAGCATGAGAAGCCTCACGTGGCCAAGGATGTACCAAAGCAAGGAACATTCACGGCCCAGGATTGCAATGTAATTTGTAACATTCAGGCTATTGTGAATTTTAATTATAATTTATGTAGATAAGAGCGTTGAAACTAGACACCACACGTGTTGCCTAAATGATGTGAGGGAAAGTTGTTGTGCAGACTGGCTGTAGACCATTGCAGGTTACCTGAAAGTTACTGCAGGTCAGCGGTCTTACGTGGCCATTTCAAAATCTACAAACAGAAGTATGAAACTTTCCATTATATATGATTTTCATTTTTTGTTTAAAGTAACATTATAATAAATATATTATATATTATATATATATCACAAATAACTTCTGCTCAAGCAGCAGGAATCCTATAGTTCTGAACACAATCAGTACTCAAGAAAACTCTCAGTTTACTATATGTACAGCCAAAAAGTAGGGTTTCACGTCTCGGTGTACTTAAAGTTGTTTTAGATCTAGTAAAAAAAGTTTAAAGTAGCACGGGCTATTTTGAGCGTATAGGATTCATCCCCCTTTTTACTTATCCATTTTATTCTAAAAATATAACAACACAGCCGATTCATTTTCTCCTCAATAATATTTATGATATGAAATCTTATTCAACTCATAAACTAACAAGAACTAGGTTGTGAATAATAACTTTTAGAGATCTTAGAATTGCTATAATGTAATTTATATATTCGTATGACGTATAAATGTCTTACACAGTGAAACCTGGCATCGTAATGTAGCAATAAATAGCCGGCCGGCCCAAGGTTGTCGTAGTACTCAGGTGACAGAGGCGCAGGAACCAACAAGATGAAGGTCTTACTGTCTCTCTCTGCGCTCTTGTTCGTCTCAAGCATCAACGGTGCTCCCAGTGAGTTGTTCTTTGTTTTGAAAGTATATTAGCAAGTTAAAAAGTAACAATTAGATTTTCTAATCAGGTTATATCATTTATTTTCAGAAATAAATGTATTAATCTCAGCCCAGTGCTAATGACGTTACTTACGGACATCTTATTATGGCGGCTTCGTTGCTAATTACTATACAACTTACGATTTTCAGAGCGCTACGAGAATATCCCCATCACGAGACTATCAATGTTCTGGACGACCTCGTAGTGTTTCTGAGCTTATCGATATCACCAAGAGAGCATATCTGTTTACCTAAGGTTGAAGACTTCGGACTAACTTCATTCAATCTTGTAAGGGGAATGGTCTGGGGTACGGGACGGACATAGGCTGGTGGAGTTCGTCAGAATCTATGAGGAAACAGCGTGGCAGGGGGTCATATTCTGACCATACTTGACGATTTTTGGCACTGCCCGCTAGCAAAATATTTTGAAAACTAAAATGTTAAGTCTTTTTTATCATAATATAAACACTTATCAAGTGATCTTATGAAATTAAAACACCTTGACAAAGAGGCAGACACCGAGACAGGGAGAAAATGAAGGGGAAGAGGGTGAATGTTTGGAGACAGGGAAGGAGAACAGGGGATACTTGAAGAAAAGGCAGGAGATAGTGGAAAGGAGGGAAGAGAAGAAAGTTGGAAGGGTTGGAAAAGTATAGGGGAAAAAAATATAGGTCAGAGGGGGAACGGGGCAAGAGACCCGGGTACCACTGTAGTGAGCTATATAGGGAATACACACTAAGCCGCCATGACCAATATAAGAGTTACAGACCTCGTAAGTGGACACCTAAGTTCTTTGTGAATCGTTAACTCATCACTACGATAATATTCTGTGATATGCATCAATTTATCTATAATATTTAAGTGAGTGTTCACATTAAAATCTCACGAAGGCGGGTGGACAAATGAGGTCTTACGATAGCATTTATCACTTTTTTAATGTCTGAATAAAGCTGAATATAACGCCTTAACATTATGTATTAGTTCGTGTATATCACGTGTTCCCTCAGCTGACGATGGCTCCTTCTTGGCCAACTGTGATTCCACATCAGACTCCAGTGAACACCCTGAGGATCACGACACTTCCTTCGGCTCCTCCAGCAACGACCATGATGTAGTCGTCTCGGCAGGCGACCAAGACGACAGCCAGCCTCGAGTCTCTCCTCTCCCAACCCAAATTTCGGTCAGTGTCGAGGGCAGAGTCAAAACAGACTGACAGAAATGTTGAAATTACAGTCCAACTATAGCTTCGTGTTAGTTTATATATCAAATTCAAATTAAATAAATTATTACGTTATAAAGATAGTATTATGTATTATAAACATAGGCGATAACGAGGTTACTTAAGAACGTTATTCTGTCTCGGGGGCGCAGTTCTTGAGTGAGAGAGATCAGGCTGACAGCTCCACGACTGAAGACAGAACCCCAAGCGTCGAGACTACCACCATCACCCTGGGCACTGCAGACAGCTTCAGCCCGTTCTTCCACTCTCAGGTAAATATGACAGCTTCAACCCGTTCTTCCACTCTCAGGTAAATATGGCAGCTTCAACTTCAGCAGCTTCAGAGTAGCTTAAGCTAAAACAACAACATGTAAACTATTGTGGTTGCACAGTAGGTAGGAGCAGCAGGTAAAAAAGCTAACCAAACCTGTTGGAACAATCTAGCGTACATTTGACTTCAAGGAAAAGAAGGTAGTGATTCAATTGTGTAAATCTCTGGTGAGTCCCCATTTGGATTACTGTATCCAAGCATGGAGCCCACATCTTCAGAAGGACATAGTTGCTCTGGAGCAAGTGCAATACCGGGCACTTTCTGAATTTTGAAAGTGCAACAAAAATCATTCAAGAGCCAGGTCAACTCACGTATCAGGAACGGTTGAGGGCCACAGGGCTAACAACACTGCAAACCAAGCGTGACAGGGCGGATCTTATCGAAACTTAAAATGCTGAACAATTTGAAGAATTTTGATCTGGACAATTTCTTCAAAAGGTCAGATATAACACAAACAAGGAGCAATAGTTTCAAGCTCGACAAGCCACAATGTAGGACTGAGAACAGAAGATGCTTTTTCACCCACAGGGTTATAAACCCAAGGAACTGCCTACCTGCCGGAGCCGCAAATGCCAAAACTTAAATTTTAAGGTCCAACTGGAAAAAAAACATCAAGACAAATCACCTTCAACAAGCCGCCGGCTTCCTGTCCTCGTCGAGGCCACTAGTGTTAGTGACCCCTCAGGTAAATAAATTGATAGCCCTCTATAGGATGAATAGCCTTAATCCAACACAAAATCAACTAAGGCAAGTTCGAAATCTGGTGAACGTTTACATATCTTAAAACCAGGTAAATTCTAAAGCGTAAGTACCACTATAACGTTTAAATGTTATTCGTCAATCTTTCACGAGTCAGATAAACTAACATCAGCCATGTGCCTTTTATCTCCTCTATAGTCAAGTTTCCAGTTTTCAAGTATAGTTGCTCTTCCCATCCGAGTACAGCTTGAGTTTAAACAGATTATTTCCATTATTCCTAGCAAAGGACAAAAACCTTTCTTTGTAAATAGAAGAAGGCAAAGACAAATCATTTGATCATGGTAACAGACGAAGTTTACACATCACGAGTGGGATACCATTTTGCATGCACCGTTTAATAGTAAATATATGTAGAGTCGTGCGACTCATCATATTCAACTTCACTAACTGAATACCATTAATTAGTCATAATGCATATTATTGTCCTGAACAGTGTTCAAAGGGAAGGGAACTGTCAGGAGAAAGCGCCAAGCCATTAGACTATATAAGATTTGGAAGGGATCAGGATAAGGATTTGAGATGGGACGGAAAAGGGGGGGGGGGGAAGGAATGGTGCCCAATCACTTTGACTGTCGGGGATTGAACGCCGACATGCATGACGCGAGACCGTCGCTTTTCCGTCCAGTCCAAGTGGTTGGGAAAACAGGGTTCAAGACTAAAGTAAACTCTGTGTATAAATACCATAATGTAGAGTGCACCTCCCTGGAGTATAAAAGTTCCCCTTCTATGTGGCACTTAACGTTTTCTCTGAATGCCTTATTTACCCGCCTCAGGTGGGTGCCTCGCGGTTCACCAGAGACACCTCGGACTCCGAGAAGGCCGAAGTTGATCACGACAGCTACGAAGTCACCACACAGCAGGTGGGTTATGAGGTCAAACTGCGGTCACCACACACACCTGTTGGATAAATAGTTTATTAATTTTGATTTGTTATTCTACTCTACTGTTCAGAAGGCAGTTTTGTCTATTATGTATATATTCTTGTATATAAATTAATGTGAAATTGTTGCTAACAGGAGGTTATAGACTTTAAGAGGGAAGAACATGAGGAGGATAGTAGCGAAGATACTTCATTCGCACATGTCTCACTGCCTGGGTACTCCAAGCTCCACGGCGTCTACCGGTAACATCTTCCCAGCCTCAAGCAGCAGCTACCAAGGTCTCCCAGTCATCAACTCCATGTGACGGTCACTCGCACTTTATTGTCAAGATAGTCATCAGTGTTTATATTTATAGCCAACACCATATGCCTGTAATTTAACATTGACAGTTAACAGACCAACGTTAGCTTAACCAGCAAGTTTCTGTTAATGTGATCAATAAAGTTTAACGTTAATTTGATCAGTAAATTATACATTAATTTTGTGCTTTTGTCATGTCTGAAGCCCTCTATGTATGTTTATTGTATATTAAAACAGAATAAAATATATGAGAGATAATTTCATTACCTAGATTATGGCTTCCAAATATTTACTGAATCTTTATAGGAACACATGAAGGATAAGAACAAAAGGAACAAATATTTGTTACTCAATAGGAGTGAGTAGTTGCTGAGGGAACAAAAAGTAACGATAGATATGGCACCACTGTCGTCGCGTAACTCTTCCTAGCCAATCCTGGGTCCGTCGACCCATCCAACACTGCACGAGTCAGCAGCTAACACACTGCTATAACCGACGACGGCCACTTTGTCCTCTCACAGGACCATGTCAAGAGTTCTTGAACTGCTCTCCTCGACGCAATCGCCTCCTTATGTCACCTCTGTGAACATAAAACGTCATTAGCTAGACAGTATACTGGGGGGGGGGGAACCCTAGGATAACACCCTTCCACCGGGGAATTGACATTGTATATTGTAGCCACAACCTAGATGGCGTTGATCTCGATACGCCACCCACCAGAGGTCATCATCATCGATCTCCTCTTCTAACTGGGGCAGGAAACCGGAGTCTTTCACAGATACCACGCCACCACCAACAGATGGCATTGTCTGTGTAGCGTCCAATACCGGGGAGTTGGAGTGCAGACCCATAGATGGCGCTGAAATCGCCACTCCCCACTCCAGCGACGGTGTCGATACTGTAACAATACTAAAGATGGAGAATTCCACTGCAACTCCATTCCCATAGTCCGGGTGGCAGCTTGATTATGATTTATAATCTTCATCAATCAATCATCCTCCCCGGCGATAGGAGCCTGATGATTAAATGCGACCTCAGCAAACAGTATATACATTTACTAACAAAAAAATCTCTATCAATCAATCTAGGGGGAATCATTACGGGCTATTCATGCCCGTGCCAACTCTTGGGTGGCTTAACCTTCATCAATCATTAATTTTATAATATATTATTTGTGATGAAAACACAATACACAGTATGTTAAAACTGATGACTGCATCTTTGGGGTCGGCCGGTGCTTTAACAAGGCTAGCCTCAGGACAAGCTAGTTTAAGGTGACAATGATCAGAGTTAGTCAGCATTACTTCCCACTCAGTAATCAACTCGTCCTCTCGAATAGTAAAACAGCATTTTAACGTATAAATCCTCTAAGGCTAAAAAGTGATGTACTAAAAATCATAGCGGCTCGCAAAATTGACGTCATGTCCCGTTTTCTATTCGTGGGTTCTCGATTAGGTTAGGTTCGGGCAATATAGAACAAGGGTTTAGTGGGGTTGTAAACGCTCGAGAAGTCGAGGTGCAATAACAGGCAAGTCACTTCTCTAAACATCAACAATTTGTTCTTCTAGTCATGTCTTAAAACAAAGGTTCTGAATGACAATAAACTCTTTATTTTATCTATAAAAAGTTGGTAACTATAAAATATCTGTTGTCTCTTGTCTTTTATAATGAACCCATTAATGTCGATGGAACTGTAACAGTTACTGTTGTCTGAACTCTACTCATGTACTGAGCATCATGCCATAGTTGACTTTGCCATCTTTGTTATACAATAATTATTCTAAATGATTAAGTGTTATTTTATTGTAATAACTTTCTTCAAATAAACAATATCATTAACTTCTCACATAAACTAAGTCAACTATAAATGTATAATCATGAATATCCGGCTGGTGGTCCAGGCTGATGGTCCATTCTGGCGTTCCGGGCTGGTGGTTCATTCTAGTGGTCCGGGCTAATGGTCCGGGCTGGAGGTCCACTCTGGTGGTCCACTCTGGCGGTCCGGGCTGGTGGGCCGGGCTGGTGGTCCACTCTGGCGGTCCGGGCTGACGGTCCGGGCTGGCGGTCCGAACTGACGGTCCGGGCTGGTGGTCCGGGCTAGGTTTTTTGATACATTGCTACTCTGGTCAGAGGGAAGTGACTGGCTGGAGCTGGTTGGTGGTGGCGGTGCCGGCCGTGTCTCTTGTTATGCAGCGGCGCAGTTCGTCACAAGACAAACATTACGACGCACCAAATTCCCAAGTAACTCATTTGTCATTGTAGGTGATGCTGGTCCATTCTGCTCACTCCCTCACAAACCCATCCTCTCCTCCATGTAACATAATAAATATTAATTTCGTGCTATGTAGGAAACTAGTATGTTATTTTAATCAAAGCTAAAGAGGGTATGTACCGGAAGGTGTCATCATAATCCAAGATGGCCGCGCCAACCGATGACTACAAAGTTTAGGATAGTTATCAGTGCAATAATTTATTCCTTAATACTGACTGATAATTGACCTTACTATTTGTTTTAGATCAGTAAGCGTCATGGTAAAAAAAATGGTAAAAGAAAAACAACATAATTTATAGGCATAATTTTGTGAGCGACATTTAAGCTTGAATGTTCCACATTAACAAAATATTGTAACTATATATAAAAGAGAGATAGTTTATCTATGATAGAAGGCCAGACGTTTGGGGCTAGACTATCTAAACAGTCCAGGGTGACTGGAGGCTGTTGAGAGATGGACATAACTAGGCTGACAGCCCCCCCCCCTCCTCTTCCCCTTCATTCATACTTCTAAACTTGCTAAATTCCAGATGCCATTCTAGCTAACTCATCCAGCAACTTGATTTCTATATAATGATCGAACAACAGTGCCATGTGACGCTCCGGTGCCCAGCTCCTCCTCCTAAGGTTTCCCAACGTCACTGTAAAGTGTCGAATCCTAACCTACCAGAGGACCCACAACAGAAAACGAGACAGTACGTCAATTTCGCGAACCGATTCCAATTTCTAGTACGTCAGTTTGTGGCGTTATGTAACGCATACGAGCTAAAAGCGACGTTCTTTGTAGGAGGACCCCCGCGCCAGGTGATGTCTCGTGACGTCCCGCGCCAGGTGATGTCTCGTGACGTCCCGCGCCGTGGGTGCCACGTGACCCCCGGTGCCATGTGACGCCCCTGTTGCCTTGTGACGGTCCTGTACTATTTGACGGCATAGTGCCATGTGACGTCATAGTGCCCCACGACGCTAGTGGTATATGACGCCAGTTGCCATGTAATTCTCCTACGCTATTTGACGGCATAGTGCCATATGGCGCCCAGGTCCCATGTTGATGCTCCAGCAAATGATCGTCCGCTCAATATACTGGCTAGTGATTGTACAGTCCGTACAATCACTAGCCAGAGATTGTACTAGTGATGCTAGTGATTGTACAGTCCGTACTCTGGCTCCTGATTGTACACGATTAAATACTGTTTCGATTGTATACGCCACATGTTGGCTAGTATTTGTGCACACAAAATAATAGTTAACGATTGTGTACACATCCTGGCTAGTTAATATATTAGCCAGTGATTGTTCACGCTATACATACCACATGCTACCTAGTAACTGTACACCCTGCTTACTTATAAAAGTAACATACTGGCTAGTGATTGTACTTAGTCACACACTCTGCTGGACAGATATGATCAAAACAGACATCGGACAATGAAGACACGAAGACGTTTCGCTCCGTCCTGGACCATTTATAATGTTCTACCGTCTAGAACGTACCGAAACGTCGTCGTTTCTTCATATTTCTAGTTTATTGATGTTCGAAGGTTCAGTCACTGCATAATATTCCTCCAGTGTGTAAAATCTTTATTAATAAATAAACAAGCTACAGAGTATGCTTTATATATATAAGAACTGGCCCAAAGCGTGTCGTTACAGTTAACAACTGTCACATTATTAACAGGCTGCAGTCACAGTTCCTCAAGAGGTTTACGTGGAACATTTGGTTGACACTCCACCATACCTCAACCTCATCGTGTCCCGTGCAATTTTGTACACGGATAAAGCATTAATATTCAGTATAACCCAACAGTATAAGAACACTTTATGTAGAGATGAAGCAGCACTTACATCAGTGAGAAAGATCTTAGCTGGTATTGCAGTAAGGACTTATCAACCTCTGGAAAGTTATTGAGGCCTGTCAACCTCTGGAAGGTTATTGAGGCCTGTCAACCTCTGGAAGGTTATCAAGCCGGCCACAATAGCTTACTGACCAATTATCAAGTACACTGTAGCCCTGAAAATAGCTCAGAACTTCAGGTAGTAAACTCTGTATATATGTACCGAGAAGCAGGGTACACCTCTGTGTACATATCCCAGTAGGGACACGATGAGCTGGTGTCCCCGGCGTCACGGCAGCAACAAGACCAGGTTAGAAGCCACGTAGTTTGACTCTTTCAAAATGGGGTGTTGGGGCAGCCGTGTCCGGTGAAGCCTCAGGGATGGCCTCCCTGGCCTGGTCCCCCACCTGTGGAGAAGCACATTATGTCTGTAGCATTTCCAATCGTGGCTATATTGTGAACAATTTAGAGAACATAAGTATTTATAAAATCCAAAGAGTAATATGCTATTGAAGGTTATATTAACTACCTCTCCAGGTATATTTGAATTCTCGTAATATCGTCGAGTACGATCTCCAAAAAAATCAAACTGATTATTGTATCTTTTTAAGAATTTGGCATATAGTTCATTTATAACATTTTGGGGTTGCAGGATCTGGGTCTGCCGCATATCATTAATTTTTGTATATCTTACCTATTATAATAGTATAAGCTGGATCAGTGAATGTTTCTCTGTCTTAGTCCAGAGAGAATTCAGTAAAGCAGCACCAATGTCACAGCAACAATTGCTTTGGCAGAAGTTGGGATATTACTGTTTTAAAGACGGCCGCCTGCGTCACTAAGTGTATGACGGTCAGCCGCCTGACTTACGGGTGAGGTGACGGTCAGCCGCCTGACTTACGGGTGAGGTGACGGTCAGCCGCCTGACTTACGGGTGAGGTGACGGTCAGCTGCCTGACTTACGGGTGAGGTGACGGTCAGCTGCCTGACTTAGTGGCCGCTGCCTGACTTAGCGTGGGTGAGGAAGGTGGCGGCGGCCAGCTGCCTGTCTAAGTAAGCCATGTAGCGGCGACATGCACACGTTTTGCCATGATGTTTTCACTTTATACCTCTGTTCACCTAGCAGTAATTAGTACACTAGAGTTAGTCGACTGTTAAGGTACACCTGAAAAATTCTGGTATGCCCGGTACAAGTCCGGTATGTCTTGTACAAGTCCAATATGCCCAGTACAAGTTGCTCTGGCCTTGGGCAAGGTGTGAAGATCAATGACTGACGATTTAGACAATAATTTTGCCTCACTGATGAATGGGAATTAAATGTTTTCTTTTGAATGTTTTCCTCCAATATTTACAGGAGTATTGATTCAGTCTTCTAACACTGTCATTTGTCTCGCGTTACATTAACGAAAACGCGATAACAACCATCCTATCAAACCAGGTGAAATGTTAAATAAGAATCAAGGATAACAAAGTTTCTCCACTCAACGACTGACGTTAACAAAGACACGCGTCTTGGCCATAATTGGCAACAAATATGTCAACTATTATAACTCTTGTGGTTTTTTTGCCACTGCTGATTTACTGCATGTTGCATAGGAAACAATAGGAAATATACATACTTCAACGGCGTGCAACATCGGAAACTGTCTCTTCAAGGTCATTTTGAGAATTTGGAAGTTCTCATTTATATTTTGAGGAGTAAAAACAAAAACAAATGAGAATGGTAGTCAGCAGATTCGGATTGGACACTCCCAGATGTCTGACTCTCTCTCTCACTCTCCCCGTCCCTCTCTCACTCTCCCTGTCTCTCTTTTTCACTTTCCCTGTCCCTCTCTCACTCTCCCTCATCTCTCACTCTCCCTCTCTTTCACTCTCCATCTCCTCCCCTCTCTCTCCCCCCCCCTTCCTTCCTGTCTCCTAGGATAAGGGTTGTACTGGTGGTGAGAGGCAGGCAGGCAGGGAGGAGGGGGACCGAGTAGAGTGTCTGATGGTAACTAGCGTGGTCACTTATGTTAATACTAAATAATAACCTACTGGAGACGTGGGGTCCTGGTCACTGTGGCCGCTCTCCACCTGTGGGTAGCCCCAGGCGCCGCCGCTCCCGCTGCCCTGGTGAGGAAACAGTCTTAGCAAGGCAACGTCACAAACAAATCGAAATTTAAACAAGAATGTAAGCCAAGAGAAGATGCTAGGCTATGGACGTGTACTGGTCAGCTGGGGTTATCTATGTTTAATGGGTAATAACCTTGAGACAGCTTGTGCTTATTGATCTGATCGATTTGTCCTTATTATAATTCTTCTACTGATTCTACTACTAATTCGCCTTACTAAACCAAACTAGCCACTTTGCTCTTGTTACGGAAAATTCTACCGGCTCGCTTTTACTTCTCCAGTGAACTTGCTATGACAACAACACAAGCAAACTTGTCTTTACTAAACTCTCCCTGAATCGTTGTTTTTAATGAAACTCTACATGAACAAATCCAGTAGGGCCGTGACGAGGATCCTCGTCACGGCCCTTGTGGATTTGTTCATTTGATGCATCACGTTATTGTGATCTCTGTGTGTGAAACTCTACATATCTGACTCCTGTCAACACTATGATTTGACAATACTGAACCTGAGTAGCAGGCTTAAACGTAGTAAAACGTTTTAGCTAATACAGTAAAGAGCTCTAACTGACTCGCTCTTACTACAACTCGAATCGAACCGTGTTTACTGTAACATTGAGTCGACACCCCCCACACACACAAACTTTCTGACCCATCTTTACTATAATGTTATGATTGACATTTAAAAAAAACATTCTAACTGAATCACAAATGTCATGTATGAAAAACTTTGCGCTGTGGTGCTCACCCCGCCGCTGAAGAAGCTGAATAATCCTGAGGGCGGCGGTGTAGTGGTGGTGGTGGTGGTGGTGACGTCCCTAACCTCTCCCTCCGTCGTCGTCTCCACTGTTATGTTGGAGAACAGTAACCCCTGCGGAAGATGACTCTCATGTTTACCCTCGCTTTCTCTCTTGATTTTTTGTTCTATCAGACAAGATTGTATTAGGAATGTCATTGTTATTCCCACTGAAATTGCAAACTAGACGTTGTTATCGTACATCAACTCATCTCAGCCCTGGCCCTACAAATAAATTTATTTTGAGATTATTTGTTTACATTAGAATTAAATTTTATTTAATGCAAAATTGCAAAGTTACAATTATTTTATTAATAGAATGAAGTTGAAGACAGCTGTGTATAAGAGCCTTCATGTGGTCGCTTCACTGGATGTCACACTCATCTCCAAACACCACAGCACCAGAGTCAGTGTCAGAGTAGTTAACAGATGGAATGCATCAGGCAGTGATGTGGTGGAGGCTGACTCCATACACAGTTTCACATGTAGATATGATAGAGCTCAGTAGGCTCAGGAACCTGTACACCAGTTGACTGATGGTTGAGAGGCGGGACCAAAGAGCCAGAGCTCAACCCCCGCAAGCACAACTAGGTGAATAGAGCATCACACTACACCAATGCCCGGGGCCACCTACCGGGACGCCATTGCTCTCAGGACCTGGTTTAGGTTCGGAGCCCCGTCGACGCGCAGTCCTCCTGGTGGCCGCCACCACCACGGCTGGAGGAGCACCTTCAGCACCCTCGTCTGGGTCGTCCTTAGATGGTTCAGTGGTCTCTGGGCCTGTAACGTTGCAGGTTTTGTAATTAATATAATTTTTAACCCCAGAATTTACGTTATACTTTCATAATACACCGTAAAATATACTTAATATATATCGAAATATTTATTCGTTCTTCTTTCCATAGTTTTCAAAATAATCTAAATTATATCTCTGTAAACTGCTCTATTTTACTGTTAAGTGCTGCCTTACTGGGTGCAGTTATCCACTCACAGATAGTAACCCCCACCAGTGGTGTAACTGACCAGCAGTAACCCCCACCAGTGGTGTAACTGACCAGCAGTAACCCCCACCAGTGGTGTAACTGACCAGCAGTAACCACCACCACCAGTGGTGTAACTGACCAGCAGTAACCCCCACCACCAGTGGTGTAAATGACCAGCAGTAACCCCCACCACCAGTGGTGTAAATGACCAGCAGTAACCCCACCAGTGGTGTAAATGACCAGCAGTAACCACCACCAGTGGTGTAAATGACCAGCAGTAACCACCACCACCAGTGGTGTAAATGACCAGCAGTAACCACCACCACCAGTGGTGTAAATGACCAGCAGTAACCACCACCACCAGTGGTGTAAATGACCAGCAGTAACCCCCACCACCAGTGGTGTAAATGACCAGCAGTAACCACCACCACCAGTGGTGTAAATGACCAGCAGTAACCACCACCACCAGTGGTGTAACTGACCAGCAGTAACCACCACCACCAGTGGTGTAAATGACCAGCCACACCTACCGACCTCTGGAGGGTTATTAAGACACTACCTTACTGACCAACCAGCAAGTATACTTAACTATAAACATAGTCCTGGACTAAAGTAAACTCTCAGTATACATGCAGCGTGAAGAGCGGTAAACCTCCCAGAATACACACACGTATAAGCGTGGAATACACTGTGAAGAATGGTATACTTTTTATTCTATACCTTTTATATTAAAATGAACTGAACGTATTTATGTTAAAGTGAGCAATTTTATATTATTTAAAATTAAAATTATATAAATTTAAGAAATATGAACGGCAAAATTAGTATCGTATATTCCTGAGAAAACGATTAAATATTCAAATTTTAATGTTATTATCAACAGGTAGCGCAAAAAAAATATTGCTGCCTCATACTTGAAAGGCCTATGCTAATTGATAGGCATCGGTGATTCAAGTAGTGCGTGAATATTGAGATTGTTGTCTATTTGTTTTATCAGAGACTTACTATTGACTATGACTTACTTGGGGCAGCTGAGGCGGCGGCGGCGGCGACCAGCAGGAGCGCCAGTAGTGACACCAGGAGCCTCATCTTGCGACCTCTTGTACCTCCGCCGGTCTGGAGGGCTCTGTACTCTCCAGCTCTTGCTGCTTCTATTAATGTGCTTCGGTAGGCGCCACCTCTTCACAGAAAATGTTGACACAAACTATAATAATAAGGGATACCATAGAAAATATAAAACATATTATATAGTGGTATCCCTTATAATATAAATATAAATAGTAATATAATAATGTGTGTGTATGTGTGTACTTACCTAGTTGTACTTGCGGGGGTTGAGATCTGGCTCTTTGGTCCCGCCTCTCAACTGTCAATCAACAGGTGTACAGGTTCCTGAGCCTACTGGGCTCTATCATATCTACATTTGAAATTGTGTATGGAGTCAGCCTCCACCACATCACTGCCTAATGCATTCCTTGTGTCAACCACTCTGACACTAAAAAAGTTCTTTCTAATATTTCTGTGGCTCATTTGGGCACTCAGTTTCCACCTGTGTTCCCTAGTGCGTGTGCCCCTTGTGTTAAACAGCCTGTCTTTATCTACCCTTTATCTACGGGAGCCGGTCGGCCGAGCGGACAGCACGCGGGACTTGTGATCCTGTGGTCCTGGGTTCGATCCCAGGCGCCGGCGAGAAACAATGGACAGAGTTTCTTTCACCCTATGCCCCTGTTACCTAGCAGTAAAATAGGTACCTGGGTGTTAGTCAGCTGTCACGGGCTGCTTCCTGGGAGTGGAGGCCTGGTCGAGGACCGGGCCGCGGGGACACTAAAAGCCCCGAAATCATCTCAAGATAACCTCAAGAAGAAGCTCATAATAGCCAGGTAGATGACCGGGCAGGTCAAGCAGAACTACGCGGCAGCCAATCAGCACCCAGCACAGGCTCCTGGAGAGGTCAGGGAAGGACACCCTGGCATTAGGGAACTCTGCGCGTATAGTTGGGTGTGTAGCGGTGCATGACCAGCTGCCTCCTGCATATGAACACCTTTACTTCCATTGTCACTGATTCATCACTCTGTTTTCTTGATTTGCCACAACTCACAAATTACAAAGTGCTAACCTAACCGGAAACGCACAAAACCCAAGCCACACACCTAACCTAACCTACTGATGTATAGAAAACTTGGATATGTATGAGCCGCTACTTTTCATAGTACACACAGAGATCACACTAACGTGATGCATCAAATGAATCAAAATAAAAAATTTTACCCTGTCGTAGCTCAGTCGATTAAGGTAGTGTCTCGGATGCTCCCGGACGCAGGTTCGAATCCTCGTTACGGCCCTTGTGGATTTGTAATTTTCGTAGTACTTTGTTATCTGTACGCCGGGGAGCGTAGCGTACAAAATGGAAGGTATTGGTTAAAGAGGATTTGTACTGTAACAATGGTTACAGTACAAATCCTTAAACAAATTTTATAACAAAACAACAACAAATCCTTATACAAATTTTAAACATGAGTCGACAATGCTAGTTTTTTGTTTGTTAAAACCGTGTATATTGGTAGGTTAGGATATATTGGTGTAGGTTAGGTTAGGTTACATTTGTTTGAGTTACGTTAGGTGAAGTTGGGTAATGTTAGGTTGTATTTACATTGTGTTAGTTAACCATCTTGTATATAACGTGACTTGTATACATTTACACGACGACGGTCCTCCTTGTCCTGAGCGCCATGACGCAGCAGGAATGGGATCAACAACCCTTATGGTTACCTTAAGGTGCTTCCGGGGCTTGGCGTCCCCGGGGCCCGGTCGTCGACCAGGCCTCCTGAGATGGTTACCTTGAGGTTACCTTGAGGTGCTTCCGGGGCTTAGCGTCCCCGCGGCCCGGTCCTCGACCAGGCCTCCACCCCCAGGAAGCAGCCCATGACAGCTGACTAACACCCAGGTACCTATTTTATTGCTAGGTAACAGGGGCATAGGCTGAAAGAAACTCTGTCCATTGTTTCTCGCCGGCGCCTGGGATCGAACCCAGGACCACACGATCACAAATCCAGCGTGCTGTTCGCTCGGCCGACCGGCTCCCTCCCTACATGGATGAAATAACAGAGCCAATAATTACCTTAGTGTAGTTACCTATGCTCATGATGCAGACGGTGAGTCACAATAACATAGCTGGAGATATGCTGACCAAACCAACACATCAGAAGATGAAGAAGCGACTAAGTTTCAGTCTGTCCCAGACCATTATTAAGTCCGGTAATAATTCTCGTCTTCTCAGTACTCGTTCTCATCTGTAAAGAGTTAGTAGTACTATTGTTAGAATAATAGAACTAGTGATAATAGTTGGAGAGGTAGTAGCATTAATAATAATCACCAAGGCATGATAGTATCATTAATCGTTCTGGGTCTAGCCAGCCGCGCACCGTAACCCACTGGACCACGATGTGCTAGTATAATATCTTAAAGTTCGCCTCACGACATCGTCACATGAACTGATTAACTTTATCGCCATATTATCACAAATTATCTCACATTAACATTATCGCCATATTATCACAAATTATATCACATTAACTTTATCGCCATATTATCACAAATTATATCACATTAACTTTATCGCCATACTATCACAAATTATATCACATTTGGAGGTGGGGTCCCTCGATTGTTTCAAGCGCGGGTTGGACACGTATATGAGTGGGATTGGGTGGTTATAGATAGGAGCTGCCTCGTATGGGCCAATAGGCCTTCTGCAGTTACCTTCTTATGTTCTTATGTTCTTATGTTCTAACATTATCGCCATATTATCACAAATTATCTCACATTAACTAACACAATATAATGACTGATGACACGTGCACCTGTCTGTCCTCACACTATTACACTACAATTTTTAACCAGTCAGCCACAACGTAAAAATTCAGGTAGTTCGATGAAGACAACATAAGATTGACGACGCCTCCTCGTAGCACAGTGAACTCCGAACACAATGGAATAGGAGATGAATTCCCGCAACAGGACAGATGCGCTTAGAGTAACACATACATTTACCTGATGCCTCTGTTCACTAAGCAGTAAATAGGTAATTGGGAGTTACCCTGGAAACACAAACCGAAACTGTTTCTATTTTCCGCTTGTTACAACTTGTAATAAAGTTGTTACATTTTGGCTTAACGTGTTTATGACATATTAGAACGTTGTTACAACTTGCTATATTGGTTGTTATAACTGGTTAGGTGTTAAAACTTGTTCGAACGTTGTACCAACGTCGTAGTTTCGGTGTGTGTTTGGCGGGTAGCCATCTGTTGTGGGTTGCATCCTGGGGAAGGTCAGTAATTGAGAAATTAACAAAAATCTATATAAGTTTTAACATTTCTTGTAGTCCCTATTTAGACAAATATATTTTCTTTTACGTAACATTGTAAATAAAATAGAAATGTAGTTTGGAATCTAATCGTTGTTGTTGTTGTTGTTAAAAGATACGCTACCTGGAACAAGAAGTTCCAAGTAGCACGGGCTATGGTGAGCCCGTAGTGGATTAAAAATCTAATCACTAGATGTTCAATTAGCATGTAAGTGGATGAGTACCAGGTACCGCCAGCACTTGGGTACAAGAAGGAAGCAACGGTACTGGTGACCCTCGCTGGCTCCAACTGGCTCCACCTACACCGGCAAGGAAACCTTACCACTCACTAAATATTTATATTCAATATATGGTCCCTTTATGGATGAGATACTATGATAAAGCAGAAGGTTCTCCTGCTGACTTAAAAGGATGCATTTCAGAGATTGAAAATAAGCGAACAATTAATATGAACAAGAAAATTGCTTGTTCATCGTATCTTTTAAATCCTGAATGATATACTGTGGCAAACCAGAAGCACTACTTCTGACTTGATGGAATGCAAATCACATCCAGACACATCCTGGAAGTCCAAATCGCCAGACACATCTTGGAAGTCCAAATCGCCAGACACATCCTGGAAGTCCAAATCGCCAGACACATCCTGGAAATGAGACATCCATAAAATGGTACTAAAGATATGAATGTGTATCGTCCCAGGAGTGGAACTCTCGATGGGATACTATGGTAAACTAAAGAGCACTACAGCTGACTTTAAGTTATTGATTTCAGAAACAGGAAAAATCAAGACGGAAAGCAAGCAAAGAAAATGGAACCAAAATTTTGATTCTCATCTTAGCAGTTTGAACCCAGCAGGGGACACAATGGCAAGTCAGAAGACACTACTCATAGCTTAAAGACAATATTTATATCAAAGACTGAAAATGAGCAAGGAAAATGGAATAACAAATTTGGCTTCTCTTCTTAAGAGTTGAACTCCAAGTCAATCAATATACTAAGGTGCGTTAGTATGGAGGATTGTGAGTGTTGAGGTGCTGATGAACGAGGATCTTGTGGAGTCATTGAACTCGTCATGTTGTGGAATACCTAACTGGACACAGCAGTGAATTAATGCACAAAGATTAGACAGGTCATGTGAAGAATGTATAAGTAAATGAATTAACACAAAGGCGCCGTGGTACAGTGGGAAGAGCTTGCCTGGCACCGGCTGGGATCACTAACCTTTGAGTTCCTCTTGCTTCCACTTCAAGAATAACTTCAGAGATGAACAAATCTCTGTTCATCTCACACGTTAGTGTGATCTCTGTGTGTTCAGAGATGTTAATTTATGAATGAGTTTTACTTGGTACTAATCAGTGTTTATAGGAGTCTTGTGGTCGGTAAGTTATATATGAATCAAAAAAATAATATAAGCATTAGCTGATTGTTTCAAATTACGTATTACTTATGAAATTCTTTTGCATTTAGTAATGAAATGAATATTCCATGTTACAAAACCGGAGATTCAAGATCGAATCCTAAATTACTGTACTGCTGGCCAGGATATGTTGACACCAAAGAGATTCAAGATGAGGTCTGATAAAGACCTTTTGTGCCCTCTGTAATGCTTTTGCGCTACCGCTCACAGGATGAGTATGGAGTGCATAAGAAACTAGCCGCCTTCGGCGGCAACAATCAATCAATCAAAGAGATTCGGTTAAAAAACAACGATCAAAATCGATAGAAACAGCGACAATAGGAGATGAGATATAGCAGAAGCACTCGACGTCAAGTATTCTCATCCAGATACATATAGGAACTACTGGTCGAATGTAAAATAATTATCTTTTGTACCCAAGGCAGGTAAAGTTTGTACTAATGGGTAACTCCAAATAGTATGCTAGAAATTAAACAGTTCTATTCTACCCAACATAACCTTTCCTAAGCTTAATATATACCATTTTAGGTTTAATATAATACATATATACGTTATATTAAGCCAAGGAAAGTCTAGGTTTTATTTTTGTCTTCTTTATCATCCTCTCTACATAATGAATAGTACAAAACTAGGCTATTATTTTGGGAGACTTGTCGCTTTACACCTCTTACCAGTACACCCCAACTACCAGTTTACACACCACCTACCAGTACACCCACCTACCAGTTTACACCACCATCTACCGATCCAACCAATGCGACTCTAGGAGCAGATTGCCCGTTGCCCTCGACAAAGTAACGGCGTCATTTCTCATCACAACTTCATAGTTAACATGTTAATGTTTGAACTTGTGTGTTAGCTCCCGTCTGCCTCTGAGGATAGTAAGTTGTACCTTAACCAGAAGTATCAGGCCCATTAGTAATGTAGCATGAACGTTGGTGGGGGATTTTCAACTTTTTTTCAGTATTGTGTAAACACGTTTACCAGAAGGAATGCTTGTAAATTATTTTTACCAAACGTAACTGGAGTGACCTAAATAGATGAAGCCTAACTGAAGAGTCTTCACCAATGATCGTCTCATTGGTGAAATGGTTAAAGTACCTTGTACTGTAGGGTGTAATTAGGTCTTGTTGCTTTTTGTCTTATAAAGTATATCAACTATATTCTCAAATGCAACACGTTGCAAACAAATTTCAAAATAAATAAACAGTTTGTGTGGCGGCCCCGTCGTCTGCCACAATAGCCACATGCCAGTACGTAACATTATCACACGTTATGTCCTTAACATAAAAGGTCAATAAACTCTTAGCACAAAAGCAGTCATTTTTCCTTGTTCAGTAATCTACATATATTTATCCACTACACCATTCTATTTTTCTTTTGATGGCAGAGAGAATTATGTAAACTGGTGTGTGGGGGTTTTGACCAATGAGACTCATCGTTACAAAGCGCCTATTCTTTCATAATCTAACCACTTACAACTCCAACAACAAATGCGATGATGCCATCTTACACGTTCCAAGAACCTGAGGGGTAAAGGTAATACATATATTCCCATAAAAACAGGAAGCCAAACACAGTTATGTACCTAGGAATTCATGAGGGTTTCTCTGTGACCGTGTTAGATGGACCAACAACCCACAACACTGCTACATTTACTGTTTCTGCTTCAACGCTTCCTTGAAATACAATCTTACAATACCTTAATAGATGCAAACAATCATTTGGAATGACAATACAGTTCAATATTTAGAGCATGTATTAAATTCCGTATGTTAGACGCTTGTTAGTAACTTTGCGGTGGTGGAGCGTGGCAGTGTGTGGAGGTGGTATAAGAGGAGTGAGAGCCCGGGGTTGTGTACACATCTCTCCAGCTCGTCAACAACATGAGGTTCCTGGCGTGTCTCTCCGTGCTGGTGCTGGTCGCCCTCGTCACCGCCGCCCCGGGTAACTTATTAACACTCTGAGCATCTCCAGATCCTCCTCAAGCATCCAGCAACACTCTGAGCATCCCCAGATCCTCCTCAGAGCATCCTCAAGATCCCCAGTGACTGTACCTTTGTCACTTTGTTATTGACTCTACTGTAGCCATATGTGTTGCCAGACCCGCCTTCATACTCAAGATAATTTTCATTATATCTTTCTGGGAGTCAAGAAGCTGGCTACCCACTGACTTTGATCACTTCACTTCCTCATACTGAACATGACACTCACTTCTCTTGACCATTTCAGTAGTATAGTACCCACGCCCTGAACACTGCATTTGCTAACTACCCTCTCAATGAACATTCTATTTTATCAAGACCATCAAACTGAACATTCCACTTGCTCTCACCCACGTCATTGTCATGCGACATCCTATTGTAGCAATTGTCATACAATTGCTACAATAGGACGTAACAGCTTGCTACAATAGCTGGGCACAATATCTTGCTACAATAGCTTACTACAGTGCTTTCATTATCAACGTTTCTTTGTCAGCCTTTTATACAACTAGAAACAGCTTTATCTTTGGAAGCATTTCTGGAAAGACATAAGTTTTCCAGGAATGCAACAATGTTTTGTTGTATTTCTGGAATAAAACAATGTTTTCTGCAACAAAACACTCTTGCATTTCAAACAAACAAAACAGCGTTTGTTTTCTGCAAGAAAACATTACCACTGTTGAAGAACGGCAACAGTGGTAATGTTTCATATAACATCTGTTGACTTTATGATCTAAGTAAACACTATTGATTATTACACTTTTTAATCATTACTTCACACGGTCTAAGATCAATAAATTTGTTTTAACTTCAATGAATCACATAAATGTTGACACTGCCTTCATTAAGGCAGAATTTGCATTCTTGTAAAATTGGTATTAATGCTTCTGCAACTTTTAGCAATAATGTGACTCTTATTAAGGTTAGCGCATCAGTGTATAGATAACAGTGCATCTTACGAATTAATAAAAAAACTTAATTTTGTAAATCTGAAACACTCAAATAATCGATAGTTATTTATGTATATAGTTTTCCTTTGTTAATAATTACAAACTACCATGATGTTTGTTTGCATCACAAGTTATGTTTGTCTCTCAGCTGACTCCACGGAACGACCTGTTGATGACGACAATGTCTCCTTCGGGTCATCCAACGTCCACCGACCTGTAGCAGGCACTTCATCCTTCGGGTCCAACAGCGACCACCGTCCTCAAGGCGGCTTCGGTTCCTTCGGGTCCTCCAGCGTCAACCCTTCGGGTCCTTCAGGGTCCAGTGTCCACCGCCCTGAACCTGTTTCACCAGGCGCCACTGCCTCCGTCGGGTTCTCTAACATCCACCGTCCATTAGCAGGCAGCGCCACCTTCGGGTCCTCCAGCAACCAGGGATCTGCTGTAGTCCCAACAGGCGACGACTCCCACAACCAAGACGGCCAGTTTAGTTCCCGCCAAATCTCCCCTCATCAGCAACAGTCTCCCGTCTTCCAGGTAGGTGGCGCCGGGTGTCATCTATCTTAATCTTGAAGTATTGTATTTTACAATAAGCTTACCATACGACCCTTCATAGTTAATAGACACACACACACATATATAAAGCACTAGCAGATAATGGAGTATGTGGAGGGCTTGATATAAACCAGACGACCATCATCCCCAGGGCTCGCAGTTCCCCAGCGGCAGCAGCACAACTACCGAGGACGTAGACAACACGGCCGTCGTAGCCACCACAACAACAACTGAACCACCCAGAAATTTCTTCAGTTCACTCTTCGGAGGCGGAGTGAGTACCCCAGCGGAGCCTCACCTTCCTGTCTAGACTAGTCGTTCACAAACTGTATTGTTATATCCAGTCGGAAAAACAGAGAATACGTAATAATATTTATCTTTCAACTAGGACATTTCCAAGTGTATTTATTTTAAGTTCTATTCAAATATGAGATGCTTCTTGTTCTTTAAGCTCTGCTGCGAGACATGTTGCCTCACTTCTGCCTTAAACACTAAACTGCCCAACATATGGTCCTATATAATTGTCCTTTTCTAGTCCTCAGTAAGACAATATTTGTAACATTTAGCTGAACGCAATACATTAACTTCCCCTTAATGTTGGTCACAACTTGTTCCCCTTAATGTTGGTCACAACTTGTTCCCCTTAATGTTGGTCACAACTTGTTCCCCTTAATGTTGGTCACAACTTGTTCCCCTTAATGTTGGTCACAACTTGTTCCCCTTAATGTTGGTCACAACTTGTTCCCCTTAATGTTGGTCACAACTCCGTCCCACTTAATGTTGGTCACAACACATCCACACTCTCCCGCTGGACACCTTAATACCTAGGTTCATCCTGAGGATATTATTGCTATTTTTGTTGTAATTTCCAGTCGAGTTCGTCCCGTGTGAGCAGAGACACCTGGCGTCAGGTGTATGTGGCCGAGGACCAGGATAGCCAACACTCGGCCCCCACACAGGTACGTCACCAGGCCGGGAGCTCCTAACTGTCGACACACCTCCTATACATCTACTGACTTCACTACTCATGCAATTCATTGAAATATATCTTCTTCTAAAACTAAACAGATGCAATAAGTTTGTATTATTTTCGTTTAATAAGGCAAATTGAAAATCAATAAAGTTATGGTCATGTCATTCTGATTTAATTCTTAAGAAAATCTTTCCGCGCATAGTTTCCTGTTTTATTTTAATAATGCTATCTTTATTTTGTATTTTTGTTCCACAGTCTGAGGAACAATCTAGCAACTTGGAGGGATCTGTGCCCTTGAATCTTGGTACACCTGGTTCCTCAAGTGTTGCGGCTCCTGTCTCAACCAACGTTGGTACACCTGGCTCTTCAGGTGTTGTGGCTCCTGTCTTAACCAACGTTGGTACACCTGGTTCCTCAGGTGTTGTGGCTCCTGTCTCCACCAAGGTTGGCAGCACTCCTCGGTAACCTGGTTGGAGGCTCCGTCAACCCACCAGCGTGAACTCCTGCAGCAGGTGTTGGTGCCTTAATAACCCCACCATAAAGGCGCCCCACAGTGACTAGGAAGCACCATAGAGGCATCTCCCGGCTACTGTCGCCAGACACATCCTGACTTCCACACTGTGGCTCTCACCAAGCTTTAATTTAATACAAACATCTATATATAGCTGCCATAAACGAATACTCTTTTTTACTGTTTTCTAACAACAGCGTTAGGTTCGCTTGTACAAGTGTAAGTGTCGTCAGGTAACGCTTAAACGCTTGCTTGCTACAACAGGTCTTACTGGTAAACAATCGTCACACCTGTCAAGCCGCACAAACTGTAGTTAGTTTCTATTTAATAAACTTTGAATGCATCACAAACATTGTATGACTGACCTATCTTGGACATGTACTTACCCCTCTTACGAGCGTATTGTTTACATCTCAAGACATAACCTTATATACACTCAAACTATTGTGCTCTTGATGGTATACGTTCATCCAACTCTAACAGAGTGGAGTTTGTACAAGGGGACACAATGTGGGATAAAATATGGGACACAACATCTTATCTTGAGATAATTTCGGGGCTTTAGTGTCCCCGCGGCCCGGTCCTCGACCAGGCCTCCACCCCCAGGAAGCAGCCCGTGAAAGCTGACTAACACCCAGGTTCCTATTTTACTGCTAGGTAATAGGGGCATAGGGTGAAAGAAACTCTGCCCATTGTTTCTGACCTATAATACAATCCATCCTCCTGTTTACATAGTAGTTTTTGTAACTATGTGCACCATAGTACAAACAATGACATACTAAGCAAACAGACAGCAGAATTTGGTATTAACTTTACAGTCCGAAAAAATGAAGCTAAAAAACAAACTTAAATATTCCTACGCCTAGTATAGTACACATATGTACTATATTCGGCCTCAGATTCCGTGTGTTAGGCCTAAGAAGGTTAGGTTAGGTTGTCTTTCCAACATAAATACAAAACCTTTTCCGGTTTGTCCAAATACAATAGTACAGATTTGTACTTTCTAACTGCGGTGTATATAGATATATGTACTATGGTCCGTATCGTTACTATAAGTACTACCAGCACAGGAGGATGGGTTGTATAATAAGTTACACAATATAAGCTATAATGAGGGACACAATATGTCCCTTATTATAGCTCATATTATGTCCCTTATTATAGCTCATATTATGTCCCTTATTATAGCTCATATTATGTCTCTTATTATAGCTCATATTGTGTCCCTTATTATAGCTCATATTATGTCTCTTATTATAGCTCATATTGTGTCCCTTATTATAGCTCATATTATGTCTCTTATTATAGCTCATATTGTGTCCCTTATTATAGCTCATATTATGTCTCTTATTATAGCTCATATTGTGTCCCTTATTATAGCTCATATTATGTCTCTTATTATAGCTCATATTGTGTCCCTTATTATAACTCATATTATGTCTCTTATTATAGCTCATATTGTGTCCCTTATTATAACTCATATTGTGTCTCTTATTATAGCTCATATTGTGTCCCTTATTATAACTCATATTATGTCTCTTATTATAGCTCATATTGTGTCCCTTATTATAACTCATATTGTGTCCCTTATTATAACTCATATTGTGTCCCTTATTATAGCTCATATTGTGTCCTTTATTACTGGAAGCCTTGTTACTGGGAAGTAAAAGTCATAACAAAGTTTCCAGTAATATGGGACACAATATGACCAGTAATATAGGACACAATATGACCAGTAATATAGGACACAATATGACCAGTAATATGGGACACAATATGACCAGTAATATAGGACACAATATGACCAGTAATATAGGACACAATATGACCAGTAATATAGGACACAATATGACCAGTAATATAGGACACAATATGACCAGTAATATAGGACACAATATGACCAGTAATATAGGACACAATATGACCAGTAATATAGGACACAATATAAGCAGTAATATAGGACACAATATGACCAGTAATATAGGACACAATATGACCAGTAATATAGGACACAATATAAGCAGTAATATAGGACACAATGTGACCAGTAATATAGGACACAATATAAGCAGTAATATAGGACACAATATGACCAGTAATATAGGACACAATATGACCAGTAATATAGGACACAATATAAGTAGTAATATAGGACACAATATAAGCAGTAATATAGGACACAATATGACCAGTAATATAGGACACAATATGACCAGTAATATAGGACACAATATAAGCAGTAATATAGGACACAATATGACCAGTAATATAGGACACAATATAAGCAGTAATATAGGACACAATATAAGCAGTAATATAGGACACAATATGACCAGTAATATAGGACACAATATAAGCAGTAATATAGGACACAATGTGACCAGTAATATAGGACACAATATAAGCAGTAATATAGGACACAATATGACCAGTAATATGGGACACAATATGACCAGTAATATAGGACACAATATGACCAGTAATATAGGACACAATATAAGCAGTAATATAGGACACAATGTGACCAGTAATATGGGACACAATGTGACCAGTAATATAGGACACAATATAAGCAGTAATATAGGACACAATATAAGCAGTAATATAGGACACAATGTGACCAGTAATATGGGACACAATATGACCAGTAATATAGGACACAATATAAGCAGTAATATAGGACACAATATAAGCAGTAATATAGGACACAATGTGACCAGTAATATAGGACACAATATAAGCAGTAATATAGGACACAATATAAGCAGTAATATAGGACACAATATGACCAGTAATATAGGACACAATATGACCAGTAATATAGGACACAATATGACCAGTAATATAGGACACAATATGACCAGTAATATAGGACACAATATGACCAGTAATATAGGACACAATATGACCAGTAATATAGGACACAATATAAGCAGTAATATAGGACACAATGTGACCAGTAATATAGGACACAATATAAGCAGTAATATAGGACACAATATAAGCAGTAATATAGGACACAATATAAGCAGTAATATAGGACACAATATGACCAGTAATATAGGACACAATATGACCAGTAATATAGGACACAATATGACCAGTAATATAGGACACAATATAAGCAGTAATATAGGACACAATGTGACCAGTAATATAGGACACAATATAAGCAGTAATATAGGACACAATATAAGCAGTAATATAGGACACAATATGACCAGTAATATAGGACACAATATAAGCAGTAATATAGGACACAATGTGACCAGTAATATAGGACACAATATACAATCTCTCACAGAAAATGTACTATCCCCTTGCATAACATACCAGTAACTAAGATAGTAAAAGTTGCCTATGAAATTGACCTGTTCTCAAGTTCAACATGACTGAACAATTATCTGCAGTAGCTAGAATATTTTCAGATTTACTCCAATTTTCGCTGCTATTTGATATATATAAATAATATGTTAATTGTACATAATATAATTCATTTTTATTTCTAGTCTGATACGACGCCTGAACGCGTTTCGTAATAACTTATTACATTTTCGAAGACTAGTTTTACACACATAACTGTAATCTGTAAACACACATCCATATTTATACTCGCATTTGGGTGAGGTGAGCCCCAAAGCTTTGGATGTAAGCCCCAAAGAACTCAGTATATAGGCAAGAGATGTCGGAAAATCCGACACCATTTAATAATCATACAGATAATAACTGTATTACCAACAAGTTACCCATAGAAAACGTAACTTGTAGTGGAATTACTGTCTATAGAAAACGGGATATCATCACCACATACTATTATAATTCACCACCTATTATGGTGGGAATTATTCTTAAATACATTAGTCTTTGGACTTTACCATCATAAAAACATCTCATATAAATTAACTTAATTATCAATATTAAAGTAGAGTAAATGTGACCCTTCTATCACTTTCTGAAATCTGGACAAAGTAGGCCAGGCGAGAGTGAGGAAGGAGGGCAGCCATTGTTGTGTCACCTCCGAGACGTGTGGAGCAAATTTGGCTCCTATCATTCTGGACAATGTCGGCCAGTAACGTCAATAGTATGGAGTGTTAAACAGTCATTGTTTTATACTAGACCAGAGGTTCACACGGGAGCAAATTCGGCTCCTGTTAATTTACTTGGACGTAGTGTTATGGAAACCAAAGGTACCATCTCCAACACGATGTCTACAATTCAAGTTAAGTCTATCCGAAACCCGTTTATCATTCATTTATGGCCATTAATGTCAGGATATAGGGTGACCCGGTTAGATCACGTGGAAGCCTCAAACTAAAGGTAATTAAGCCAGGTCTTTAATGTTCCATGTACTGTATAGTGTTTTCTCTGATATAACTTGTCATATATAGGATTCTGGCTTCACAGTTAGCGCCCTTTTGACAGGTCAAGACGAGGAAGAGTTTGTGCACCAGTTACCTGGGTGATATGGAAGCTACCTCAAAGAGGATAATTTGGTGTCTACACCCTAGTTATACCTGGTGGACTAGCCTGCTGTACTATAAGATAAGGAACCTCTTCAATGTTTAATAATGTGTAGTTAATTCTGTAGTTTGATTGGCTGCATATATATTAATTTAATAACCCCCCCCTAATGTGTAGAGGATCGATTTGTGAGATTAAGAGATTATTGCAGAAATACAGTCCACTTATCATTATACAAATTGCTATCGAAGTATATAAATTAACGTAAATATAAATTCATATAAATTAAATAAATATAAATCTCACAGGTCGGTTCCCACAAGAGAACAACGTCTCTTTCCAGGCGATTAACAATGCATAAACAACAGGGCTCCATCAAGGAACATATAATCTCTTCTCACAACCAGACCATCACCAGAGAAATCTTAGCAAATAACACAGAAATCATCGATAGATACAGCGATAGCAGGAGGCTCGACATCTGCGAGGCACTACACATCAAAAAGTCAACACCAGCAATCAACAGCCAATTAATGCACAACTATATTCTACCCACTTAAAGACTCCGAACCAACATAGAAGCATCAAGAGGGAGTGTTGATGCTATGGGCCAAAAGGCCTTCTGCACTTACTTCCATTCTTATGTTTTTATACCCATTGGTTCGTGTTCTATCTTGTGTAAATGTCATTTACCTCACCCAAAACCTTTGTACCATATCACCACACCCAAATGCGAGTATAAGTATTTATGTGTGTTTACAGGTTACAGTTGTGTGTGTAAAACTAAAGTCTTTGAAAATGTAATAAAGTTATTATGACACGCGTTCAGGCGTCGCGTCAGACTAGAAATAAAAATGAGTTTTAGAGAATTGATTTTTCAATTACCATCGACAGTGAAAAGAAACATAAGAAATATTGAGAAAATTCGTGTTAGAATTATTAATCTTGCCTTTTCGGTCATGTTTAACAACATATGTTTACAAGAGACTGCTACCAATATTATATATATATATATATATATATATATATATATATATATATATATATATATATATATATATATATATAACTGAAAACTCACACCCCAAGTTGTATATAGTCCTGGGGACCATTCAGGCTTGTTTGCATATATATATATATATATATATATATATATATATATATATATATATATATATATATATATATATATATATATATATATATATATATATATATATATGTGTGTGTGTGTAACTGAAAACTCACATATATATATATATATATATGTGTGTGTGCAACTGAAAAAGAGTTTTCAGTTGCATATTGTCCAGGGGACCATTCTGGCTTGTTCGCATGTGTGTGTAATTACCTAAGTGTAATTACCTAAGTGTAGTTACAGGATGAGAGCTACGCTCGTGGTGTCCCGTCTTCCCAGCACTCTTTGTCATATAACGCTTTGAAACTACTGACGGTCTTGGCCTCCACCACCTTCTCACTTAACTTGTTCCAACCGTCTACCACTCTATTTGCGAAGGTGAATTTTCTTATATTTCTTCGGCATCTGTGTTTAGCTAGTTTAAATCTATGGCCTCTTGTTCTTGAAGTTCCAGGTCTCAGGAAGTCTTCCCTGTCGATTTTATCAATTCCTGTTACTATTTTGTACGTAGTGATCATATCACCTCTTTTTCTTCTGTCTTCTAGTTTTGGCATATTTAATGCTTCTAACCTCTCCTCGTAGCTCTTGCCCTTCAGTTCTGGGAGCCACTTAGTAGCATGTCTTTGCACCTTTTCCAGTTTGTTGATGTGCTTCTTAAGATATGGGCACCACACAACAGCTGCATATTCTAGCTTTGGCCTAACAAAAGTCATGAACAATTTCTTTAGTATATCGCCATCCATGTATTTAAATGCAATTCTGAAGTTAGAAAGCATTGCATAGGCTCCTTGCACAATATTCTTAATGTGGTCCTCAGGTGATAGTTTTCTATCTAGAACCACTCCTAGATCTCTTTCTTTATCAGAATTCTTTAAAGATTTCTCACATAATATATAGGTTGTGTGGGGTCTATGTTCTCCTATTCCACATTCCATAACATGACATTTATTAACATTAAATTCCATTTGCCAAGTGGTGCTCCATATACTTATTTTGTCCAGGTCTTCCTGAAGGGCATGACAATCATCTAAATTTCTTATCCTTCCTATTATCTTAGCATCATCAGCAAACATGTTCATATAATTCTGTATACCAACTGGTAGATCATTTATGTACACAATAAACATCACTGGTGCAAGAACTGAACCCTGTGGTACTCCACTTGTGACATTTCTCCATTCCGATACATTGCCTCTGATTACTGCCCTCATTTTTCTATCAGTCAGAAAATTTTTCATCCATGATAGAAGCTTACCTGTCACCCCTCCAATATTTTCCAGTTTCCAGAACAACCTCTTATGTGGAACTCTGTCGAAAGCCTTTTTTAGGTCCAGATAGATGCAGTCAACCCAGCCATCTCTTTCCTGTAATATCTCTGTGGCCCGATCATAGAAACTGAGTAAATTCGATACACAGGATCTTCCTGATCGAAAACCATACTGTCTGTCTGATATTATATCATTTCTCTCCAGGTGTTCTACCCATTTAGTTTTGATTAGCTTTTCCAATACTTTCACTATTACACTTGTCAATGATACAGGTCTATAATTGAGGGGGTCTTCCCTGCTGCCACTTTTGTAGATTGGAACTATGTTAGCCTGTTTCCACACGTCTGCTACGATTCCTGTACACAGGGATGCCTGAAAGATCAGGTGAAGTGGAATGCTGAGCTCAGATGCACATTCTCTCAGAACCCATGGTGAAACGCCATCTGGGCCAGCTGCTTTGTTCCTCCCGAGCTCCTTTAGCATATTTTCCACTTCATCTCTAGACACCTCTATCCGCTCTATGTTGTTCTCTGGAATTCTTATTGTGTCTGGTTCTCTGAAGATTTCATTTTGTACAAACACACTTTGGAACTTTTCATTTAATGTTTCACACATTTCCTTTTCATTTTCCGTGAATCTGTTTCCCATTTCCAACCTCTGGATATTATCCTTTACCTGCAATTTGTTGTTTATGAATTTGTAGAATAGGCCCGGTTCTGTTTTACATTTATCTGCTATCCCTTTTTCAAAATTTCTTTCTGCCTCTCTCCTTACTGCTGTATAATTGTTTCTCGCATCTTTGTATCGCTGGTATGTTTGGGGGTTCGGCCTCTTCCTGTATTGATTCCATTTTTGTGTCTTTCGGTCTCTAGCCCTCTCGCAATTTCTATTGAACCAATCCTGTTTCCTAGTTCTGCATCTCTGTTTTGGTATAAATTTTTTTGTGCCTTTATCATATATTTCACAAAACTTGCCATACATCTCATTCACTTCCTTGCCTAGCATCAAGTCTGTCCAATTATACTCACTAAAAAAATTTCTAAGGTCACCATAATGTCCTCTCCTGAAGTCTGGTTTTTCAACTGCTTCAACCTCCTTATTTTCTTCCAGCTTATAACGCATTGCATACTTTATTCCCAAAAAGACATGGTCACTTTTACCCAAGGGAGGAAGGTACTGAATGTCAAATATCTCTTCCTCCTTCCTGGTAAATATCAAATCTAGCATGGAGGGAACGTCCCCTTCCCTCATCCTCGTAGCTTGTTTAACATGTTGATACAAGAATGTTTCCAGGATGAGGTCTACAAATTTACAGGTCCAAAAATCTTCTGTTTTAGCTTCATATGCTTCCCAGTCTATGGATTTCAAGTTGAAGTCACCGACTATCAACAGTCGTGATCTATCGTTATCCGCTCTCGCTATAATCTCTCTCATTATTGTTATAAGACCTTCACGTTTACTATCTAGCTCCT